AATATTTACATTATTCTCCAGCATTAACCTTTTGATCACCTATATTTTACTAATATTTAGGTTTGGTTAGGGGCCTGCTTTGTAAAATATATTTTTTAGTATAAAAATTTTTATTTCAAGAAAAAATTGTATCAAAAAATTACTTTTAAAAAACAATAAAAAAACTGTTCGAAACAAAAACTTTACCTATTTACAATTTCATGAAGAGAAGAGGGTGGCTGTTTTAGCTATCCTTAACCAAACAAACCATGTGTTAAAAATTCCAATTATAAAATCATCATTACTGACAAAACACATTATCCCATTTGCAGGTTTATTATGATAGATTTTATCTTAAAATTTGTTTGTCTCAATATCGTCAGGATAACATAGTTATTTGATATATTGAGATAACAGTTTTCTCAATCAAATACAACGCATTTGATTGTATTGCATATCAGGAAATATTCAATTAGATAGCTTTGTCAAACTCGCACGTGACCGAGTAATTTCTGATGGCAAATGAATGAATTAAGTTGCAGCAAAATGAAACTTAAATTTCATTAAAGTTGGGAGGACAAACAATTATGAATATGTTCCATTCAAAATTATTTGTGAGCAACATTCGAAACCTTACTCGACTTGTGAGTTTCAGATAGAGTGAGAACGAAAGAGAGAAATGATAAGACGGTTCTAGAGAGGGATGCTCTTAGAATTATTTTGACAGCACAAAGAATCTAGAGTATAAGTTAATGTACCTGAAAAATGGCTCTTTGACCTATATTTATAGGGTCCTTAGACATTGTAGGAGAAGTCATACCTATATAATATTAAAATATATGATATGTGTTGCGTCCTAGAATATTCACAGTGATTGAGAGATAAAGAGCTTAACATCATAGATTTGAACAAAGATCCAGCATACAGACAAATAAAAGAGAGGGGTGAAGTATTCATAAGAAGCACATCAAGTTTTTTACGTAGAAACTCTCGAAAAGATAGCAAAACCATAGGGCCTGACCCAATTTAATTAAAGAATCCATTGGCTTTGATGGTTGATTACAAATAATGCATCTCCTTAGAGGAGGATGTTGATTAAAATATACATTGTAGAGAGCACATTGCATAGTTGGAGAATGAAATGATAACTATTCTCAAGAGAATGCTGATATGTTCATTTGGTTAGTAGGGTCATAGTCAAACTACTAAGGTCGGAGGTATTGTAGTGGGCAAGTGACATAGGTCAAAAGAGTCGTAGTCGGGCAATGGTGATCGTCGGGACCGTAGTTGGCAGGTGACAAAGGTCAGAAGAACTGTAGTCGGGCGATGGTCGAAGGGACCGTATTTAACGAGCGATGGAGATTGGAAGGATGGTAGTCAGAAGATGTCAACTCATCCCTTAACTCAAGGTCATGGAGAAAACAATATGCTGAAGAGTTTTTTAAACTTAAGAAGATTGGTCCCCTTGATGTAGATTGTATAACAAATAATGTTCCATCAATGTTTGACAATCGTTGGAGATTCAATATTAATCAATCATTGGGTAGCTATCTGAAAATGTTTGATTGTTGGGAAAAGATCATACAACAACCAGTGAATAGTCGGAAGTCCGAAAACAATCGGTGGTCAGAGTCCGGTGATGGATCGGTGGTCAAAGTCCGACAACATTCGATGGTCGGGAAGAGATCCGACTGATGGTGCAAGCTTAAGAAAGCAAGAGAGATCTTTCATTTTTTTATCATCCTCATTCATCTTTGTAAAAAAAGGAAGAGATCTTGCCTTTATTTTCTTTTTCCTCTGTATTTCTTCTAACATTATAGTCATTCTACTATGTTAGATAGACATCATCCCTTATCAAGTTTCAGTGCCCCTCTTTGTGTATTGGAGCATCCTTGCATTTTCTGAAAAAATAGTTGCTAGTGACATTATCTTGAATGTTGCAAATATTGGAGAAATTTTTCTTGGCCACAGACACATTTGAGGTTGTTGCCAATGTTGCCCCTCAGTTAGGAAATAAGTTCTCACATACGGTGCCAAACTATTCCATGCTAGAAATTTTGGATCAAAAGAGACAGTGTTTCACATCTTAGCAATGCACAAAAATCCAGCACGAACATAGAAAATTAATAGGACTAGGGGATTTTTTACTTGGAAAACCAGGAAAGAGAAAACAAAGTGGCTTGGCTCAGTTGTAGAATTCACTATGTAATAAATGATATAAAATTCCTCCTTTCCTTATAATTAATGAAGAGGAAAATATATAAATCAATAGTAATTGAATACAATCTTGACTATATTTTAGAAATGTTGATGATTTATGATATTGATCATTGGTGATGATGAAGGTTGATGGTGGTAATAACTGGTGGTCGTCGGCAACGGCGATAACTAAAAAAATGAAGGTGAGATCTCTATTTCTTCTCATATTTTCCTCTCTCTTGCTTGCTTCAATCTCCAGTGAAGAATGAATGGTGTATTTAAAATTCTTTGTGAGTGACATGACTAGTAAATAGAGAGAAGATCAAGGATATATTGGGAGTGTTTTAATGAATGACCGATATCAACTCCCTCGATCATAACTAATTTATCGAGCATTTGAGTGTCTTAATGATGTCAAAATTCGACGATCTTGGGCTTGTTGGATTCGTCTCATCTTGCTGTTTGATTCGTTTATAAAATGTCACATTTGGATATCATTTGGTCATCCAATTAATATTCTGAAGCTTCTAAATGTACTTCGGGCCTTTGATTTTGGCCTATTTGAGTTTGGATTAGACTATTTTTGTGTCATTAGATTTGTCTCTTTGAGAGATTCAATTTGAGTATAAGATTGCTGAAATCAGAGTTCATATGGTCCTTATTTTAAATTTTGAAGCCTCCAACTCTTATTTGTGTCGAGATTCACATCCCATCATGATAAACTTATGATGATATATCAATATGATTGTTAGAAACACTTAAATAAAGCTTGGAAAAGTATACATGGCAATTGTCTCCAGCAAGTATCTAAGACAAATAGTTGATTGTGTTAGATGAAGTAGTCTTTAGATAGGCATGGATGAGTCTCTCCAGCTTACCGTATGAGTGATTGCTTTGGCTGGGATAATTCCCACTCGAGGCTCAGGCTAGTGACTCCTTTGGCTAAAGTAAGTGAGCCTCAAGCTAAGTTGGTGACTACTATGATCGATGCGAGTGCCCCTTTGGCTGAAGCAAATGACTCCTAATAAGTGCATCTTGATTCCTCAGCGAGTCCTTCTAATCTCCTCTACTCACAGGGGCAGAACTAGCCTTAATTCTCATGGGGGGCAAATTTATTAAAAAAAATAAATATATAAGATAAAATTCAAAAAGAATTCTTATATTGCATTATAATTATTAAATAACAAAATTACAAGCTTTTCATTCTATTTTTTCATTTTTTGACAAAAAGTAGCATCTTTTTGCTCCCTGTGAATTAAGATATCATCAAACTATTTTGGATTTATGTGTACCATAGGGGATAAAGTTAGGTCTGATTCATAAATAGTCTTTCATTTTCAACTTTTTTTTTTTTCAAGGAACCGCCAAGAATGGCAGATTTAAAGCGGCTAAATTAGGATTATCCAACTTCATAAGAAACTGGAAGTTTCATCTTTAACTTTGGGTTCTTAAGCTGTTGTGTTCTTAAAGGGGGGAGACATGTACATACGCTCATTCTTGCATTCATAAGTCCAATGACCAAACTGGAAGCATTTTTGTCACTGAGCGGAAGCACCCCTAAAGACGAAATAGAAGACTTTAGATCATTGCTTTCACCAAATCACAAAAGACTTTAGACCCTATTATAAAACCTTTTTTTTTTTTTTTGAGATTGCCCCCCTGGGCTGAACGTGGTTCCACCCATGTCTACTCACTTAAATTTGCATATACTTATTGGGGAGCATACATGAGTATACAATTATGCATTTAGATGAATAATTTTGTAAGGTAGAACATAATATGTTATAGTGCACTTTAATTTCAACAAGAGCATCTAGTACGTACTAATAAGTACATAATAATATACATTTATATACTTGCATTTAATTGGTTGTCCACACATAGAGTACGCATGCAGTTTGCACATAATAATTTCTTCTCAACTAGAGCACCAATGCAGCACCATGCCCAATTATAAATTTAGAAGTATCATGAGTTGAACTTGTAGTTAGCTTTTGGTATTTTTCACTGGTAAAATTCTCAAAGATGTGATGAGTGTAGATATGCTTGTAAATAGTTAAAGATGAAAAATTAATTCATCTGTCTACGATCTCATGTCAAATTATCAAAAAATATTTAATTTGAAGCATACCTGAATCTACTGAATCATAGTGCTAGACATAAACTATAAATATGTGAGTTCTTTATAACAATATAATCGTACGTGTATAAAAAAATCAATCATATACTCACACTTGATTGATTAATCATATTTGGAGTGCATATATAGTTTGCTCCTAATATTTTCTTCTCCAATAAAATGCCAATGTAACACCATGCTTGATTGATTGCAAAATTAGAAGTATCATAATATTTATTTCGATGGGCCCTACCAAGTTGCAAAGTTCCACATATGCCACACCATCTATCACCTTCATTTTTTTAGTAAAGTTAAATTCTAAATCATACATTTATTATAGTTAAGATTTGATTTGAGAGCCTTAACATCAAATTTTAAGATATTTATCAGCTAAACGATCATCCTATCTCCACTTTATTTTTAGACTCTTTATTCACCCTCCATGATAATTATGCACAATTTGCAATTGAATTAATATATTTGATGAACAACTTTATATTTATTCAAGTATAAATTTATTATAATTATTATTTATATAAATTAAATAAGTAGATAAAATTTAAAATTTTTATGTATAAATGAAAACTAAGCATTAAAAAAAAATAATGCGCATATATATATATATATATATATATAATGTAATATAAAATTAAAATTATAAAAAAGAAAATATTTTATAAATAAATAAATGTTTAGTCCTAGGTTGGACTCTTTCCTTTAAACGCGACAGTTCTGCGCAGAGCGGCAAGCGACGACAGTGAGCATGTCATTCCCGTTCTCAGTTCTTCACTTCCCGGTGTCCCCCACTCGCCAACAAGATTATGCATAAATACTGGCTATCGCTTGGCCTCCATGCATTTATCACACATCCGCAGCCCCGCGGCAGCAGCAATGAGCTTTTCTACTTCCCCATTATGCGGGTCCCCAAAATCACCTCCGCCCTCTCCGCCTATCGCTGTCCCCTTCCCGCGGGTTCCAACTTATCTCCAGCGCGCGCTCGAGATCGGAGCACGGTGCGGGGAGACCTCCGTAGGAATGATGGATGAAGGGACGGTGACGGCGGAGGCCTTCGCCGGTGAGATGGTATATGAACCGATCCTGGAAGAGGGCGTCTTCCGATTCGACTGTTCTGAGAATGATCGCGGTGTTGCATTCCCCAGTCTCTCCTTCGCCAATCCTCAGGCCAGGGAAATCGTCATCTTCGTCCATGGCAAGGTTCCGGAGTTCGTCCCTGTCTTTGAGAAACTAAATGGTCAGCAGATCGTCAAGTTCCAGGTTGGGAGTTTAGAAATCTCATTCTGGGTACTTTGAGGGGCAAAGCAAGATTTCAGTAAGAATAGGGGATTTGAGACAGTTATTATTGTTTTTTTTTTCTTTCCTTGTTAAGCTTCCTTTTGGAACCTCTCTCTATGGAACTGGAGAAGTTAGCGGACAGCTCGAACGGACTGGAAAGAGGGTATTCATTTTTTGAGCTTTGATTCAATTGCACATCGTACCCGTTGTTTTCTGCGTAGTATTAATGGGTGAGGTCGTAATCGATCACAGATCTTTACTTGGAACTCGGATGCATGGGGTTATGGCCCCGGAACTACATCTTTGTACCAGTCGCATCCTTGGGTGCTGGCTGTTCTGCCCGACGGTAAGGCTTTGGGTGTTCTTGCTGACACAACCCGGCGATGCGAGGTTTGCTTTTAATTTTGTTGATTCATTAATTGATTGAGCAACTTATTTATTTCATTATTTTAAGCTTAATTGTTTGAAGTTTGTTTGTTGATTTTGTTAATTTTTATTTTATTTTCATGGCAGATTGATCTCCGGGAGAGTTCTACTATAAAGTTTGTGTCTACAGCTCCATACCCTGTGATTACATTTGGCCCCTTCAAATCGCCAACCGAAGTCGTGATTTCCTTATCTCATGCAATTGGTTGCATACTTAACTCCATTTATCTAATTTTGATCAATTTAATTTAAACTGTTGTTCCTTTCAAATAGTCTTTGTTTACAGGTTGTTTCTCTTAATTCCTCTAAAAATTCTTTAAAATGACCTGAAAAATGTCATCTTAACATAATATTAAACACTGCTTCTGATTTTTCATGTGCAACATGGTGAAGGCTTGCTAGTTAAGAGAATTGTCATTTTTCAAGCTTAAAGATGGAATTTATGGTTTTATTAGTTCTATATTGCAAGATGTTTCTGTAATTGTGTTTCCCTCTAACTTTAGGAAGTGTTTTTATGCCTCCAAAGTGGTCGCTTGGCTATCATCAGTGTCGTTGGAGCTATGAGACAGATGAAAGAGTTCGCAAGGTACTCTAATTTATGCAGAAATTTTTTATGTTACCGTGATGCAGCCTTACGGTGTATAATATGTGGTACTAGGAGTACGTTTTATTGAATTCTCCTGATTTTGAAAGGAAACTAATAAAATTGATATCTTATGCTTATTAATGATCACTATCAGCCTCATCCTAATTAATTGGAGTTGAAAAATCATCGTGAATGTTTATTAATTGCTATCAAGTTATTGGAGGATTACAATTACTATTTTGTTTCCTTTTTACCCTTTTTTCATGCAGATTGCTACTAATTTCCGAGAAAGAGGCATACCCTGTGATGCCATTTGGATGGACATAGACTACATGCATGGTTTCCGATGTTTTACTTTTGACAAAGTATGTTTTTTATCACCCGAGCTGTATTCTTCTATGTAATGTGTTGTGAATCTCTGTAATGCATGAGTAAGGATAAAAACACCCTCATTTTTAATGGGTTTATCTTAGAAAAGAAAAATACCGTGCCTTATCTTGGAATACAAAGTGTTGAAGTTAGGTTTATGCAAAATTATTAAAAACACTTTATGACTAAATTACCTTTGATATGTTAAAAAACATAATTAAAATTTTATATATTCAACATTTATTTATTTTGGGATTTCGAGCAAATTAAATTGCAAACTTACATGCACCGCATATACAAGTTTTGAACTAGCGACCTCTTGGTTGGAAATCTAAACTCCCAACCAACAAGCTATGATGGGTTGCAAAACATTTGTTAGTTCAATTTCAGATTTCATTTTTTTACCATTGCAGATTAAAAAAATTTGTTAGTCTTTTTTGAACTACAAAGATGATATAATAACTTAACAAAAATAAGTTTGGGCATCAAATTTTAAAATCTGTCCGCATAGAAACACAGCATTTTACTATTGAATAATAGCATGACCAAAATTCTGGTTAAAATGAGAAAGTCCTCCAAATCATCTTCCTTTTGTTGTATGGCCTCATATAAAGCAATATTTGGGTGACAATTTTTGAAACATGTTGAAATCTTGCTACTTGAAGCTAACTTTTGTTGTAAATATTCATTTTATTTTAACTAAACTTGTTTTGGCTTTTTATCCCCTCTTAGGGGCTTTCGGGAAATGTGTTGGATAGTTGTCTAGGAATTCCCTAGTTAATTTGTGCAGATGATTTCCCCCGATATGAGGGATTCTTACATGAGCTAATGTAGAACAATCATGCGAAAATGATTTGTAGTAAGAGCTTGCACGCTTGACTTTAGGAGCAACAATAATTATATCCTTTAAATTGATTTTAGGCGACAAGATAAATTACAAAGAGCGGTAAAATAAGTTTAGGCTAAATTACATGCATAGGAGTTAAGTTCGTAAAATAGTAACTCAATCTAACATTGCATCCATAAATGATTTTCAACGTAAATCCCTAGACTAACAATGAGATTAGTATTATGAAGGACCTCTCACACAACTCTTCCAATCACTCGATTTTAGTGAAAAATCATTAACATTATCTTCATGAATATAATAAAACCACAATTAAGGATGCAACTATGATGATAGAGAGTCGGGTGTCGAGTTTACCCAAAGATAAGAGAGTTGCACACTCTGACAAGATCCTTTGAATGCTGGGGAAGATGTGGGCAGCAACCAAGAGCCTTCCCGCAGCATGGAACAGCCGGGAAGTGGTGCAAAAATTCAAGACAACAGCAGTTTTGATCTTGGATAGCAGTTTTTTTTAGGCTGAAGTTCAGGACAGCAGCAATTTTGAGTCAAGGGAGTATGAAACAGCAACTCGTGAGGTCTGGACAGTACCCAAGGAAGTCTAGATAGCAGGTTTTGGGTCTTAGGAGTCTTGGACAGCAGTTGGGGATCCTTCTAAGCGGCTTGAAAGCAAGTTGTTTGGCTCAGAAAATCTGAACAGCATATGTTGGGCAGCAACGGGAAAGTTCTGGCAGTTGCACTGTGAAATTTCCTTTGCTGGAATTCCAGGGCAGCAAGTGGACGTCCAGGAATTAATGCAAGAATTAATCCAGCAGTTTTGGATACAAATTTCGGACAAAGAGGGAAAACGTAATAGGGAACCTGAAATAAATTTCAAGTTTTCAAAAAGAGGAAGAGAATTGATTTAGAATTCAAACTAATTCCAAATTGGGACCACTAGGGGGCGGCTGCTGTAGGAGGGGATTAATGGGTATGTATTGCAGGATTTAGATTTAATTGGAGAGACAAATCATGGAGGAGAGGGGGCCGGCCATAGAAAAAGGGGAAACATGTCTAGATTCATTGTATGTGGTCCGCAATAGAAGTAATGTGATTGAATTCAAATTTGATTTTAATTTCAGATTTGATTCAAATTGAAATAACTTCCAAATGAGGTTCTAACTCTCTAGGAAGGGTTTTGAAATTCAAAATGGATTGAATGCCAACAAGGATTCTTTCCTAAATAACAAGGAGATATTTTAGGAAAGTAATTAAGGATAATTTTGAAATTTGAAATTCAAAATCCTTTGGTAGTGGATTGAGGGCTGGCGGCTTGTGGAGCTTGGGGAGGCCAGCGGGAGGGGCGAGGAGGGGAAGACTTACGGCTAGGGCAAATGAAGGAGGGCCGGCGATGGTAGCAAGGGGAAGAGTCGGACCGCGAGCCCCGGACGATTCCGGCGACTGGTGGGTATTACTTTTTCCCTTCATCAAGGGACTTTCTCCAAGTTCTCTCCAAGTACCCTCAAACTCTCACAAGAGTAAAACATAGAAAATTTCATCATAATATTCATTCATCAACCCTCACATGAAGAGGGGAAGGCTTTAAATAGCCAACGGAATAAAGAAAATACAAAGACATAATTGCCCTTAAGGCAAACACATGACGAGGCTCTTAAGCAAGGGCATAAACGGAAAGAAATATAATAGACTCATAAAACATAAAACATAAAACAAAATACATCAAATACAATAATAATCAAAAGTAGATCATGACCGTAGATCATTGATGTCTCATCGTGCTAGAAGCTTATGTAGATGGCCTCATAATGAGCATTCATAGATGTTGAAGAAGAAGAGATTTTAACAGGTTGATGTTAGATATTTGTGTGTTTATGTTTGATAATTAATAGTGTTAGAATTCATAGAATTTAAGAAGGGAAAAAATGCCTTCTCATTATTATACAAAATTATCCCTATTTATAGATCTATACAAGAGGTCTTAATAAAGAAACAATAACGGATGAGCCTCTCACGGATTCCCATCCTGACCGTGGGATTAAGTGCCAACAGATGACTGAGATTTTGACACTCCCCCTCAAGCTGGAGAATATAGATATGTCATTCCCAGCTTTGAATTAGTCGCAAAGAGGTAGAGCTAACAAATCCCTTTGTTCACCATAGAGCATAGAGTCCTCCAAATTCCAACAATGAAGGTTGGTGGTAGGAACCTGCATTCCTCATAATTTCGGCAATGAAGGTCGATGGTGATGTAATTTTCCTTTCCCTTTTAAGCAAATCTTCACAAATTGAGACGACTTTAGATAGTTCTTCCTATTTAGGCGATAGGAAAGTTGCATGCTTTGGAGGTAACCTCGTCTTTGGTGTATCATAGATTCTACTATGGGTAGAATTTTTCTTCAGACATTGTGGAGTTATAACAACAATAAAGGTTGATTTGGTTATATCAACAATAAAGACTGATTTAATTATGTCAGCAATAAAGGTTGGTTTGGTTATATCAGCAATAAAGGCTGATATCGGGTCTGAATTATGTCTCAAATCTGATTTAAGACTTCTTGCTATTGTTGGCACGTCCAAGATAATCGAGACGGGCGTCTCTATGGATATGAGCGGAATGGGAACATTGGAAGGAGCTTCCGATCGAATCGAGCGTCTGCGAACAACTTCTTCTTCCGAGCGTTCGAGCGGCTTTGTCGGTGTGGCTTCTCTTCGGCCACTTCTTCCACAAGCTCCATCGTTTGTCTTGGGCTTTTTTCGTAAGCTTCATCCGCAAGGGCTTCGTCCTGGTCGTCTGCAGAGCTTGGCTCTTGCGATCGATTCTTCCAGACGGGACCAGTCCCACTTGCGATTCTCTCAGGCAACTTCATGCCAAACAGCTGTGGCGTCCTGTGCCCTGTGGGGTTACGCAAGTAACTCAAGCGGATGGAGGTAGGATCATACCTGGAAGCCAAAGCCACTGGCCGACCGACTATGCTGGTGACGAATGACGATGGGTTTGGACCACACGATCCCATCGACCCTTCCCAGCAAGCTCCCGTCGTGACTTTCGCACTTCCCGTATGTTGTAATGTAGGCATCCTCCGATCTCTTTTTCTTCTTTTTTCTCCTCCAACGATCTACGATCGTTTTTCAACGACAATGAAGGCCGTTGGCTCTGATACCATGTAAGAATTCATAGAATTTGAGAAGGTAAAACATGCCTTCTCATTATTATACAAAATTATCTCTATTTATAGATCTACACAACATGTGTTAATAAAGAAACAATAACTACAAAATCATGCATAATTGCCTCAATATAATCCTTCCTAAATTAGCCACCCAAATATAGGAGATTGGCGTGATCCAGGTGAGCACGAATTCCCATCCTGACCGTGGGATGTCAACGGATGATTGAGATTTTGACAAATAGTAATAGATGGGACTGATATCTTTTCAAGCTAGAGTGATTTTATATAAACTCAAAATAAAAAAAAAATTGATTCTTGCTCCTCAACTCAAACTCAAAATAGATTTCCACCTTCCTTCAAATTTTATTGACCTGTAGATATATTTTAAACAGACTAGAAATCCAACAATACTTTTTGTCCGACCCAGCAAGCTTAGCTGTGTAAGAAATAGTCCATATTTTAGGCATATTGAAATTATAATGTGTGTTGAACTGTTATTTTAAAAGCAATTTATTAAAAAATGGTTCACAACTACATTTCAAATTTAAAGAAGTATACTGAAGGGGAACTCACTTTTGTGGCATTCAAGAGCTCCTTTTGATGCAAAGCATCTTAGTTAAATTGTTCCTTAGGCATATGTTAATTAAATTGTTACAATTTTGTTATAGGATTCTAGAATGTTCTTGATTTCTCTATGTTTCTCTAGTCTTTTCCTTAGTAGATTATGAATATATCAGTTATAAGAAAAAAGAGGGGATGAATATATTTTTGGAATTTAACAGTGTTGTCACTGGTTTTGTATTCTAGCTCTGAGGAGCTTTATTTGAAATGCTTCATCGAATGATTTCCTTATATCAAAATGGTATCAGAGCCAGATTTGGCCGTTGATGTCAACCAGGGCACTGGCTGCTGCTATATCAACCCTTGACGTCAATTGGGGTTTAGGATGCTTAGGGAAGACCATGTATGAAGCTAGGCTGTC